GTTCCCCACACAATGAACTATTCGTTGATTTCTCTTCCCTACCCTCATTTGAGTCCATAGTATTTATGAATTACAAGTGATACTTTCTGAATTACAAATTACGCTTTATGAATAATTACAATTGACTATTCTGAATTACAAGTTTCACTTTCTGAATTACATTTCAATGATCTGAATCACATGTTATGCATTCTGAATTACAATTGACTAATCTTAATTACAATTGACGCTTTCTGAATTACAATTAATTATTCTGAATTACAAATTACACTTTCTGACTTACATTTAACTAATCTGAATTACAAGTTTCACTTTCTGAATTACAATTGAAAAAGGTGTATTATAAAGGAACTACACCTTTTCCAATTGTAATTCAGAAAGAATAAGATGTCATTCGGAAAGAGTATAAGTTGTAATTCAGAATAGTTAATTGTAATTCAGGAAGTATAACTTGAAATTCAGATTAGTTAATAGTAATTCAGAAAGCGTTATATGTAAATCAGATTAGTGACATGTATTTCAGAAAGTGCAACTTGTAATTCAGAATAGTGAAATGTAATTCAGAAACCGTCGATTGTAATTCAGAAAGCATACCTTGTAATTCAGACAGTATAACTTATGATTCAGAAGCTAGGAACAACCAGTATGCATCCATTCTCCTTGAGATCCGAGTGTTGGATAAAAACGACTTGTTTATCTATGTAGAACAGAATATTGACCAGACCACAGATACAATTGTTGGAGGTGATTCTGCTAGGGCTGCACAACACACCACCATTCACCATGCTGCAGCTTTGGCATTTCAAGATATGCCCGTTGGTCGATAAATATCTAATACTGATGTTCACCACACAATGAACCATTCGTTGATTTCTAATCCCTACCCTTAAGTCCAAAGCATTTATGAATTACAAGTGATACTTTCTGAATTACAGATAACTCTTTATGAATTACAATTGACTATTCTGAATTACAAGTTACACTTTCTGAATTACATTTCACTAATCTGAATTACATGTTATGAATTCTGAATTTCAATTGACTAATCTGAATTACAATTGACGCTTCCTGAATTACAATTAATTATTCTGAATTACAAATTACTCTTTCTGACTTACATTTTACTAATCTGAAATACAACTTACACTTTCTGAATTACAATTGAAAAAGGTGTAGTCGTATTGGAAATCACAACCTACTCGGATGTCCACCTTTTATAGAAAAACTCTATATATAATGAAGAACTCAACCAACTTCAATCGCGTTGGTTACAAAATTTTTCCAAATACTCAGGTTTTGAAAGCGTTTATCAGTCTGGGTCAAAGTTAGGTAATTCAATTGGTGATCCAAATGATGAAGTGGACACACTTGAAAAGTCATACGAAATTAGTTGTAATGATTGTGATACAACATATACCGGGTGGCTACGGAAGTATTGCCTACGGAATATCTCAGTTATTGTATGAAGTAGGTTTGTGAAAGTAGGAGCGTCGATATTATCACATAAGAGCTAGAATTTGAGCATATTGACATGTCGAAGTTAACTTCCGGTCTGACCGGAAGTAACATCAACTTTCTTATTTTAAATGGAAACCCTATTTTTTTTTCTTTTCGCTTTATTCAGCATTCAATTCCCTTTCTAATGACATATCACAAGTTGGTATCTAACCAGAAACTAGATCAGAAAATAGTTATTTATGCAACAAGTGCAAAAAGTGAATGTTTATCGCATTCGACGTGAAATTGTCCGACGAGGCCGTTAGGCCGAGTTGGACAACACGTCGAGTGCAATAAACAATTTTTGCACGAGTTGCATACAACATTTTTTCTACATTCATGCAAAAAGCAAAAATGATTTATTGAGGTGCGGCACTAGGTACAATTCTGTTAATTGTCAGAATTAATTTTTGGCTGACGTTTCTATAACCACAGTTGCATTATAGAAAATGTTTGTCATGATGACAGCACGTTGAAGTAGAATGACAGATGAGTGCAATAAAAACTTTATTGCACTAAGTGCAATAAAGAACTTCTTTTTCCACTAAATATAGTTCAATAAAGTTCTGTTTTTTGCATGAATGTAGAAAAAAATTATTATTGTTCTGTTTTTTTGTTATTTGAAGAATAATAATTGGATTTTTTGGTATTTCATTTCAAAAAATTACTTTCTATTATATCATTAGAAAGAAATGGTTATGCTGAATAGTACAGGCAAGAAAAAGTTGTATGTTCCTATTCAAGTTATGGACCTACAGAGTATTGTTTTTTTCCCAATTTTTCCAATATTTTTTTGGCGCCTTTTTATAACGCCGACGAATGAAAATAAAATATCACAGTAGTAGCAACTGTTATCAAGTGACGTATGGTTTGCATAGCCAACTTTTCAATTTTTGGCTTTCATTTTGCTTCCACGGCCTACTCGGTGAATTTCAATAATGATTTTTTTCTGATCTAGTTTCTGGTTAGATACCAACTTGTGATATGTCATTAGAAACGGAATTGAATGCTGAATAAAACGAAAAAAAAAGTAGGGTTTCCATTTAAAATAAGAAAGTTGATGTTACTTCCGGTCAGACCGGAAGTTAACGCCGACATGTCAGTATTCTCAAATTCTAGCTCTTATGTCATCATATCGACGCTCCAAATTTCACAAACTTACTTCATACAATAACTGAGATATTCCGTAGGCAATACTTCCGTAGCCACCCGGTATATGTTAAACCAGGCGTCCCATTAAAACAAGGTTCAAAGAACACTTAGCACATTTGGAATATGGTTGGTTAAATAAATCTTGTGTAGCCTAACACATGTTCAATCACAATCATAACACACATAATGATAACCTGAAATTATAATTAAGCAAGTTGATAATGTTGGGAAATTAGATGCAAATGAAAGCTAAGAGATATTTAAGAATAGTAATAGAGTGATGAATAAGGATAATGGACCTATCTCATTCAGCCCCCCTGTATTGTTTAGTGATATAACAAGTTCAGATTTTTGTATTCTCTATCAAATTTCCTCCATTCTCTGTAACTCTTTCGCACGTTATTTTCAACTTTCCTCAGTTCTTTCAGTGGTGTCGCAACTCTTCTCTATTTCTTGGCCTCAATTTCCCATTTTGTAGCCAGATGAAATGATCTTGACTTCCATCATATTTGATAATATTTGAATTCTTGAAAGAATTATAATACACGGTGACTTGAAGAATGCAATCATACAAAAATTGTAACGTTGATAAAAAAACACCCCTAATGATATATTGCCATTATCAAATTATCTGAAGAAAAAGATGCATAATCCGTTTTCTTCAATTTTGTTTGAAGTATCTGACAAACGAATCGTTTAATTTGATAATAACGTTAATAGTTATTTGTTTTACTAGGCAGAAAAGTAGTAGACTGACTGCCGCGGCTAATAGTTCATAGCCGAGCGTAGCGAGGCTAGGAACTCAGCCAAGGCAGTCAATCTATATTTGCTGCCGTGTGAAACATATAATTTTTTCTCCAAATGATATAAAACCAATTTTGTGTGAATTTTTTATCAAAAACTCCTTCATATTCATATTGTGTTCACTCAATGTCAGTGTCAATTTTGATTACTAGGCAGTAAAAGCACACCTTTTCTGCCTGTTAAGCGGCAGGAAGGAGCCAGTATCCCTGCCGCCTGAAGAAAAACGTCATTTTTCTCTGAATGAATTGAAAGTGGCTTTTAACTGATTTTTTTCATCGCTTGGAGCGCACGAAAAGGAATCCCTATGATGTTCAAAGAACATCGTTCGTTCCTAGGGAGGATAGGGATAGGAGGAAGGTATTGGATTTTTTTTGAACTTCTGGAGATTATATATTGTTGGGAATATTTCCTCAGGCAATGAATTCCAGAGCCTAGCCGTTCTATGGATGAAGGAGTTTTGATAAAGTGCTGTTCGACATCTTTCGAAGTTGGCAACGAAAGGATGTGCTGACTGGGCTTGTCTAGTTCGTCTGACTGGTATTGCTAGTGAAGGGATAATAGCAGAGATTCCCGAAGAACATTTCCCGTGGAAATATCGATAGAAAAGTGAAAGGTCGCCGACTTTTCTACGGTGTTCCAATGATGTCAAAGAGTAAGTGAGTGTGGCGTCACCCACCAAGCGAATGGCTCTTCTTTGGATGGAATCTAAGAGCATCAGCGTATGTTTTGGTGCTGAACCCCATATGTGGGAACAGTATTCTAGAACAGGCCGTATCTGCGCTTTGTAGCAGATCATGAGAAGCTGTTGAGGTGTAAAGTAGCTTTTCGCACGGAACAAGAATCCGAGTTTTCGTGAAGCAGCTTTGGCGATGGATCTGGAATGCTTATCCCATGAAAGAGTGTTGCTGATGGAAATACCGAGCATAGATATGGTGGGCTTGGTGGGGATGGTGGTGCCAGACATTACAATGTCGGGCATACTGAGTTCCGCCTTTCTAGCGAAAATACGGGCTTGAGTTTTGGTGGCGTTGAATTCAACTAGGATGTTGGTTCCCCAGGCTGTGATTTCAGCAAGGACTTCATTGACAGCATTGACCTGCCTGCACCGTGAATTCTCAGTTTCCTGGGAAGAAATGAGAATTCTGGAAGAGAACGCAGTATGGAGGGTACTATCATCTGCAAAGCTGTGGATGGAGCAAGTTGTTACTCCCAACAGATCATTGATATGAAGAAGGAATAATGTTGGTGCCAAAATTGATCCTTGTGGAACGCCGGATGCTCAACAGGCAGAAAAAGTTTGTTGCTATGTAACGTTCCAAAGTTCCAAGAAATAATTTGAATCAAATTGGTCAATGACATTGATTGAACACAAAATGATAGATTGGTTTCCTTGCCTATGCCGTGGCATTGAATATTGTGCTTTTCTGCCTAGTGAAACGATAGTTATTTGCATACTTGTTGAGTATTATCAAAGAGCCACTTCTAATGTCATTTGGAGAAAAAATATTTAGGCTACAGACAGACATTGTTCAAAACCAGTGGATTTAATGACTTTGAGTATTTTGAACTACGTATGTATAAATAAATGTGATACAGTTTTCATTTTGTTGCAGCCTTCACCTGCACCCAACCGCTGCCCCTCCCCCTCAGACACTCCCTACTTCAAGGGCATCCAGCCCTACTCCCCCGACCACTTCAGAGCAGTCCATGCCTATTCCCCCGAGCATTTCCGCGCCGTCCATTCCCACACTCCAGATCATTTTAGAGCGGTCCATCACCCCCACTCGCCGGACAGAGGCGTGGCTCACTCGCCACACCCCCACGACCTTCGGACAAGCCACGCCTTCACGCCTCCTTCCTTCGGCCCGCCCTGTCGCGAGTTCGAGTACGTGGGCGTGCCCCTAGAACCGCCCCCTTTACCCCACCACTATGAACCTGAAGATGAGGATACGGGGCCTTCCACTGCGGAGATCATTGCGAACCAGTCGCAGGATTACATCGATGAGAAGTTGGCCGAATATCAGGCTACTATATATCTGCTACAAGGTAAGTGAGTGGAAGGGCTAACATATTTTTCATCTTTGAGATTATCAAGGTAGGTGGCATTGGTGATAATTCGCATAGCACTCTGGATTTATACATCTACATTGTTGGATTATAACTCGAAGCATCGTTTATGGAATAGGATATTGAAGACTGGCTCATTCTGATACTAAGGAATAGATGTCTGCTTCAACCGCATCCTGTTGACAAATCCTATGAATCACCAACTTCCCAGCCAACTCATCTGTGACATGACATCTCTGAGATATCGCATTTAGTTACCAGTGTGATATCACAAACGTTCCATCGCTGCGATGTTCATAAACAAACACATCTGCGACATGACATATCTGAGATGTCGCGATGGGGCAACACTGCGATATTACGGTTGTACCATCGCTGCGATGTACAGAAGCAAACACATGCGACATGACATCTCTGAGATGTAGCGATGAGGGAAAAAGCCTACCTCTATATTAACGTGATATTTCAATAGTGAAACAAAAAGCGGGAGTTGAAAGCTGCAATGAGGGGTTTTCACTGCCCTCATTAGAAGTTTTATAGGGTGATCCCCGAGAGCGTGACAAACCACTAATTAATTTTCTCCAAAGGGACTCCCTGTTTTCCATATTCCAACACATGGCAACTGTGCTATGGTCTACCCCTACTTACGAAATCGTGGCGTCAGTATTTACTGGCGGTATATTCAGTGGCGTGTTTAGGATTCATGGCCCCCCCCGCGAGAATTGTGCAAGGGCCCTTTGTTTTCAGGTGAATCTCTTTAATAATTTTGTTGTGAAGACATGTATTTTACTCCTATGCTATAATCACCTACGACTCTACAATCACTGTGAATGAATAACAACTTCTCAGAAAACTTGAAGAAATTACATTGAAATCTCGAAACAAACGTATAATTCTTCGAAATAATACAAAATTTATGAAAAAAAAAATAAAGGAACGAAGTGAGATCAGTAGAAAAGGAGGTGAATCAAATATGATCAAAAAATAAATAGTTCAAAAAAATATGTATATAATAGAATAATAGAAATCAGTTGAAGTCTCTTCTTCTTGCCTTTCTATCTACAAATTCGTTAGTAAAAACGGATTTCTCCATTGCAGCTGCTTCTTCTGCTTCTATTGATAGTATTGCAAGTCCATTTAGTCTCTTGTGCCATTTCATTCCGCAAATAATTTTGATGATTTTTAATTTGGAAAATGACCTTTCAGCAGAGGACACAGTTACAGGTAAGGTAAGAAACAGTAATAGAGATGTAATAACTACAGGAAAGTTGGAAGATAGCGTAGAATTCATAATTATCAGGAACTCTGCAAACTCTCTTATATCTTTCAACTACAATATTTCTTCTTTTAGAGGTAAAAACGAAATTACCACGAGAGGAAAAATGGAAGATAAGTCACTGGGGTAACTTTTGTAGGTTTTCGGATGATTTGAACAAATCTTCTTCCTACATTTCAACTGTCAGTTTTGTATTAAGAAAGTTGAATTCTGAATTTACTGATAGTGGTATTCATGGCTTCAAATCTATTTTTGATTTGGCAGAGAACGATGTCAAGAGTCTTATAGTAAATGTTTACTCTGAAGGAATGTTCTCTTTCAGAATATAAATATTGTGTGTTGGGTTCCCCAAATACTTTTTTAGATGTAATGTTTCTTTTCTTCTGAAACTTTGGTTGAATACTCCATTTTGCGGCGGCATTAGTTGGTTCCGTCTTCAGTTGGTCGTAATAATCTTTATATTCGGCTAGCGACAAATGCTAACGTGCACCTGTATACACTGCACACAGAGGGTAGAAATGTAGAAGGTAGAATATTTGCAGCACATCACCACAGCAAAGTAAAAAGTCGTAAGGCTGGGGAATATATTCTGAAAACTTATTCGCGTTATCGAGCAGGTCACGAGAATAACAATTTATTTCAAACAATTCCGCGTGCCGCGTGGGCCCTTCGGGCCCCCCTCGACGTCTGAGCCCCCCGCACCGCGGGGTTTTGCGGTATAGTAGATCCGCCACTGGGTAAATTTCTAGCTGTTTGAAAATCACCGTGCTATTATTGATGATTCAAGCACCTGAAAATCGACCAAAAAATTCTCAAAATATATGAAATTGAAAGGTATTCGAGTGATGATTCTATGTGAAAAAAGGAATATTCTCAAATAATTATATTTTTATGAACACAAAAAAAAATTGTATTATCCTTTCTAGTCCGAAATACGAAATAATTCATTTCAAGCGAAACTCACTATGTGTTGGTCAATAGTCTATATTCATTGAGGCTAGACATATAATATGACTGAACTAAAATTAGCTATGATCGTTTGAGCTATTGATCGTTAAATTGGATGCGTTATCCTTATATTTTTAGATTTTTCTCTCAGTTGTACTAACAAATACAGTGGGTATACATGCGTCCTCCGATCGCAATCATTCCGAGAATATAAAATACCAATTTTTAGACAATTTATGGCACTCACAAAGGAGCCAAACTGAACCACTTTGAGTTCAATATTCAATACTCGCCTTTATAGTTACTTGATTAAACATAAACTATGCAATCCAAATCAATTTGAATTCATGAAATCGACATCTTCTATACATGCACTGAAGAAAGTTATTGACACTATAATCGATGGCTTTGAAAAAGGAGATCACACTGTGGCTGCTCTTTGTGACCTGACCAAGACGTTTGATTGTGTATCTCATTCAATTATTGTCAATAAACATGAAGTATTTGGTATAAGAGGGGTATCTTTAATAATAATATAATGTTTCTGATTTGGAACTCATCAAATGTGGAGTACCACAGGGATCTGTTTTGGGCCCTCTCCTTTTAATAATTTATATCAATGACCTCTTCCCTTACATGTCTTCCTATGACTGTATTGCTTTTGCTGATGACACCACCCTTGCCACGTCTGGTAAGGATAGACAAGTGCTTCTGCGAATGAAATTGATCTGGCCCAAGGAAAAGCGGCAACATGGTTTGGAAGAAATAATTTGATGTTGAATTCGAATAAAACACAACAAACCTATTCTTCTCCAATTGTCTCTAACAAGAACTCAGTCAAATTGTTGGGCATACTGAACTGGTCAGTTCACATAGCAGCTCAGTAATAAATTCTCCAAATATATATTCCTTCTCCGAAAACTGAAGAATATTATTGGCGTTCAGGCACTGTTATCAGCATATTATGCATTGTTCCACTCGTAAATTTCATGAGGACCAATTTTATGGGACAATAGCACAAAAGCCATTGAAACATTTATTCTTCAAAAGAAAGCAATAAGAATTATCGCTGGTGCTGGCTACGCTAATTCATGTAAACCATTCTTTAAATCCCTAAAGATCATGGCGCTACCATTTAGTTACATATACCAACTTTTGTTGGTTATTCATAACAATGAAGAAGATCACGGAGAAAATTCTGACTTTCGCGATTATCCCACCAGGAGCTGTCAATTGATCAGGCCAATCAAATTCAGATTGCATAAATCTAGCAAAAATTCTCTGGATGTGAATCTCTACAATGCACTTCCAATAAGTGTGAAAAATCTTAATCCATACAACTTTGAAAAACATTTGAAAGATATCTTAATTTGCCCTCTATTCCATAGAAGAATATATGGCTGCCCTGAGGTCTGGTGTTCAATAATGATACTATCTAACTTGTGTATTTTTCCTATTAAGTAGATAATTTACATATATGTATACTTTTGAAATATTTCTTTGGATGTCTGTATTTGTGCAACTTTTTCAATACTCTTCTAATACTTAAGGTATTATCTGTACCTCATTTTTTTTTAAATCTTACATGTCTTATTCGTATCACCTCTGTACACCTAAAAGATCAATAAATCATCTATCTATCTATATATCTATCTATCTCATACCCTCATTCTATATTAATTATATTAATTGAATTCAAATAGTTCACATCTCACAAATTAAAACTGAAGATCTCAGTTCATTCTCCTGAAATAGTTTTCTATGTGTCTTACCAAGTTAACTGATATCGAATTTATCCTGTCTTTATAATGATTTTGAGTTGAGGTTGTGGAACTCCACTTGATCATGCACGTGAATAATGAAATATTTTCTACTCACAAAACTCAAAATGAGAGAAAAATAGATTATTGTAAATGAAATGTTGTTTTGAAGTTTCATTAATCATCAGAAATTTGCTTCTTACTCATGTCAAAATTATATACCAAATTGTTTATGCCATCTGCTTAGTCATCATACTATTTCAGTCTAGTATATGCAGCAATTGTTTGTACCAAACGGTACTTTACCAAGATACCAAAGTGCAAAGTCTATACCATCGTGACCAAGAGTATTTGGTTCAAATATATCATTGAGTATATTTTTCAGCTAACTTGAATGGGTAAACGTGACCGCAATTAATACCCGAATTGGCAAATTTCATTTGTGATAGAGGTAATAATTATGTTGAGTGAATATAAGTTGCTAAACTGGGTGTGACAGGATCATCTGGTACACCCCACATATTTTCTTCAGGTGTCACCGAACATCGATTGCATTCGACTTTTGAGCCCTCTGATAGTGACTATTTCGAACGCAGTGATATTTTGGGCACAATATCTGATTTGTCCTTAAACAAATGAAATCCCAAAAAATCTAGGGAAATATTCGACCTCCTCGATTAACCAACAGAAAGTATGGATAAAAACTATTTTAAATACTCCCACTGCCCACACGACAAGTTCATCGCAGAAACTGCTATAAATAAAGGACTTGATAGTAGATTGTTTTATTAGGATCAAAAGTGACTCTTTGTTTGACAAGCGAATTTTGCATTTGCGAGACAAACAAAGTCACTTTTGATTCGAATGAAACATGCTATTTTTTCTGCAACGGAAAGAATGAACTATAATTAATATGTGGAGTAACCACCAATGTGACTTACTTGACAGATTATTATATGACCTTTATTATGATAACATCAATAAGTAGATAGAAGCAAAACCT